CAATTTTTTGTTTCTAAAAAACGATAGAACAATTCTCATTAAAACCAAGAACAAAGGTACAACCTAGAGGATCAAAGATCCAAGATTACACACAAACTAGCCGAGAGGGACATTCACTGATGCCCTAATAACCAAATTCCTACAAATTGGAAACAACAAGACAAACCAAGGAAAGAAGCACTAAAACCAGCAACATAACTACTAACTAAAACAACAGAACCATCACAAATCTCCAGGAAAAATAAACACAGATAAACCAAGACCAACCATACAACTCAAAGGCAGCAATAATGGTTGATCCCTCCAGCTGCCTTTACTATAAATGAAATGCAGTAATTCATTCCAAAATACAAAAACAAAATATCGACATTCCAACCACTCTACTCTCACCACATCTATCTCCAACAATGCAACATTCAAAACACTGTTATCACTACTATCAATAGCCACATATAGCAAAAAATACTGTCATCATTCAAAACATTACTATCAATAGCTAAAATAGCAAAAAAAAAAAAAAAACACTATCAATAGCATTAAGAACAATACTGCCATCACCATAAATTATCCAAAATACTATCAATATCCATAATCAGCAAAAAACAGTCATAACTGTCATCATCACAAACACAAACACTAACCAAATGTAAAAAAAAAGGCAATTGTTCATGACATCAAATGTTTACTGACCAACACACCATGTACTCACCAATCACCACCATATTCCCTGCTTTGTTGAGTGAAGGTTTGAGGGTCAGAACACTGAATAAAATCTTCAAAAGATAACATGGAAGGCTCATATGGCTGAGACGACTGAGACGACTGAGATTGTTGAGATGGTTGTGGTTGTGGCTGAGATGGTCGTGGCTGTGGTTGAGATGGCTGTGGTTGAGATGGATGTGGCTGAGATGGCTGCAAAAGAAAAAAAAAGCAAACAAAAAAAACGCCAAAAAAAAATAAAAAATCATGTCATAGGTTGAATTGTGATTGCTGAAATAACAAAAAAATAGAAGTTGACAAACTTTAAAAATTCACTCACCTGTTCACCTCCACCTCCTCTTTTGGGACACCTCCTTTTATGATTGTTTCCACCACATAAAGTGCATCTCTTGGTAAGCCCCTTTCTGCTACTGTTTGTTGTCATAGGTCTCATGTCATTAGCGTCAGCTCTTTTTTTTTTTGTTGGACTACCCTTTTTTTTTCACGGAGTCAGGCGGTTGAATTGGACCCTTCCAGACTCCTCATATTCATTCATCCCTGGAACTGGGAAGATCATATGGCAAAACATCCTGATATACATGTCCTTTTTGAAAAAATCAGACACATCATCAGATATACTGAACCTATGATAAGAGATGCATGCCAGTGCATGGTAACAGAGGTAGCTAACCACTTGAAACATACCACATATGCATCTTCTTGCTCCCTATTAGACTATATGGCTGTTTACTCCATGAACCACCCCATACTTGTCCTCTCCAGCCCAAGTAGGGAAACAATTCCTACTGATTTCCCTTTGCTCTTCAATTTTTTTCACTGTATTAGGGCAAATGTCCTCTGTGTACTTTTCTATTCCAGCTTTCTTCACCTGGATTCTTTCCATCATTTTCCTTCTGATCCACTCAAACATGTCCACAATAACCATATCCATAGCTTCCAGAATGTAGTTGTTGAAGGACTCTGAAATATTATTAACTATCACATCACACACTGCATTAGCGAAAAAGAAACACCTTGCCCAGTGTTCTTCAGGGACAGCCTTCAACCATTCAAATGGAGTTACCTGATATATTATATTAATATAAATTAAAATAATGAGATGTTATTTAAAACAATGAACACAAAGTATTGTTCAAAGCAAAGTAAAAAATACCTACAACAAAACCAAATAAAATATCTAGAGCAAAAATACAGCAGGTTCAAAGCATTAACAAAAGCATGAAATGAATACAAAATTTTACTAGAATGGATCACTGACAATTGAATAACACAAAGTAAAGAACAAAGCATGGATACATATTATTCAAAAAAATACAGCAGGTTATTCAGAATACTCAGGAGAAAGTACAACATATTCTTTATACAACATGTTTGCAAGGAGAAAAATATAGAAGGTTTTTGTAAGGAGAAAATACATTGTCATCCTTCTTAGGAACAAGCTTTTGGATTTGACTCATGCATCTGAGATGCTCCTTGACATTGTATGTGTTGGCTGTCTTCCAAAACTATTCCTCAATTCTAGATACCCCACTTTTGCTTGAAATTGTTGTACATGTGCTTCAAACAATGTCTATGTTCTGCCCTCTCACTTTCACTCACAACTTCAAGCAAACCCTTCTGTCTATTTGAAACAAGAGTCCATTTTCTCTCCCTGTATGGATCTACATCTCTCAGTAGTCTTTCAAGAAACCACCTCCAAGAATCCGTCTTCTCAATTTCAACATATGCCATTGCTATTGGTAGCATATTGTCATTGTCATTTCTACCAACTGCTAAAAGAA